CGATCAGATCGCCACCGTGAAGATATCCGCGAAATGCTCGGATGTCATCAAGCATGTACCAGCGCTGTGAGGCACTGCTATCGAACTTGTATTTCTGGTTATTTCCGAGTTCTGTACTTATTCGTTACTCGATTCATTGCCTGTATCACTCTAAATTCTGCATATATTTTGCCTGTGTCATGGTAAGGCGTTTAACTTAGGAACGGGTATGAAACGAGCGGAAAATCGTGGTGGGTGGGCTAGAAAGGGGAGCAGGAGGCACCTAATTTTCCCGCATACGAAGGGATAAAGCGTGAATACTCAGTGAAAATGCCTAGGAAAAATTTAATTAAAATTAGACACACAAAAGAAATTAAGAAAGCAAAATTTCGGCATTAAATTTAATTAAAAATCTTTTCTTGCGAGAAGGATTTCTCTCCCATGTTTTTCTCAGCTAAGCGCTTGGATGCCTTTCGTTTTGCAGAGACAACACTTGGCACGAATTTTCTTTTCCACAGGATCGAGTTTAGTTTCTTTTTCCCAGCAAATTTTCGTTTAGAAGATTCTGGTATCCTTTATTACTGGGCTACCCTAGCAAACTACGTGAAACTCCTGTTTATAACGTTATTGTCCCGCAATCTGTTACTTTTTTGGCCTTCGAAAAAGACGAATTTTTGTTTATTGTGCAGCTTTAAACGAAGTTATTATTAGTTCTGGGGGGCATTGAAGACAACATTTCGATCAAAATTTGGTGCTATTTCGAATTCCCGGCTCAGCTGGCAAAGTTCCAAGAAACTTCATATTTATGGTTAAATTTCGAATATAATTTAGGTACTGATTCGGCTGTTTTGAATTATTCAAAAAATGAAGTATTAGATGGTGCTGAATTTATTACTGAAGTTCAAATTTCCCAACACTGTGCCTGTTAGTTAAGGTTTTCTGTTACTTGTATTTAATAACTGTACATAAATCGCTGTTACACGTGTCCGTTATCTGTTCGAGTTATATTTTTTTTTGTTTCGGAGGAAATACTTTTATCAGTTTAATGCAGGTCGACGGGCGCTGAGCATTATATATTTTGCCTATCTCTACTGTTTTATTATGTGTCTTCAAGGATGCTTCTGTAAATCAGTCAATGAAAGTTATTTTCTTTCAGTTTGTTTTTAAGCAGCTCTTGAAGGGAGGGCCTTCAGCAGTCTTGGCAGCGGATGTTTACTTTTAACAGTGTACTAACATTCGGGTTATTTCTAAGCTCTTCCATTTCTGTGGAGTGAAATAACATAGAAATTTCGTTTTTTTTTTTTTTTTTTCGCCAGGCTATTCATTTCTGCAACAAAACCTTCGTTTGCTAGCAGAAAATAAAATTAAAATTTAGGAAGGCAAAATTTTGGCGTTAAATTTAATTAAAAATCTTTCCTTGCGAAAGATTTCTCTTCCACATGTTTCACGGCCAAAAACTTCCGTTTTGCAGCGACAACATTTGGCACAAATTTTCGCTTCCACAGGGACGAGTTTAGTTCCCTTTCCCAGCAAGTTTTCGCTTCGATTTCAGATCCCTGTATTACCGAATTTCTGGACTATTCACCCCTCGCAAACTGTCTGGAACTCTTGTTTATAACGTTATTGTTAATCCAACCAATGGTACAAACTCTCTTGCTACAAACAGTTTACTGACAACATCAACAAAACAACAAACACACAGACAGTCACTTTTCAAGTCACCGTTTTCTTTTTCTTTTTCCCTGCAAAATATAAAGCAAAATATCAAATTTTTAATAATCAAACATTGCTAGAGATCGAACTTAAAGTCCAATAAGTTTAACTTGTACAGCTGTTTCCGACAGCTGCCGAGTTCGCTGGACACGAATAATGAAATTTTGAATTTTAAAATCTCCCAACCTTTTCCTTTTTGTTCTTCGTTGCGAGGCGTGGCTTTTTGGAGAGCTTTCCTTTCCTGCCCATTTTTGTTCGCTTCTTGCCTGCGCGTCGTTCACCATCATTTTCGGCATTTTGTACCGCCATATAATTACCAAAATGTAATAATTCGTCCAGGATATTCTGTCGGTTTTCGAGTCTTTTCTTATGTCTCTCCTTTTTCGACACTTGCAAGCGGATGAGATAATCTTCTTCGTATCTAAACAAGAGCAAAACTGAGCGTAATACACCCATTAAATTACAGAAAAAATAGCAAACAATTCTGAACAATCAGATTCCTGAGACGAATCTTGAGGGGAAAGAAAGGGAGGAAAAATTAGTGCAGTTAAGCTTACTTTTGCTTCTCCAAATCCGTCTGCTTCCTTCTCCTCACGATGCTATCATCCTGCAAGCAACAATGCCTCTTAGCGACCAAAGAAAAACACAATGCAAAAAAATTAGTATCCAGCGGTGTGTCTTTGATTACCGTGAAATCCTACTAGCCGCTGCTTAGATTTAGCCAAAAGTAATACGCGTTGTA